AGTCAGAGCTTCCCTTGGGAACCTCTTACTGTAAGTATCGTTCTTAGGTTGTAGAAACAAAGCAATTCTTTCATCTTTGCATCGCGTGCGTGTCACTGTGATGTTTCATAGTATCCACTACGACCTCTTGATCTTGCTTGTGTGTGTGGGTGTCGTTTCGGCAACGAGTGGCAAAACTTGTGCAACACATGCCTTAGCCTCGTCGTAATTGATTCCATTACTCTCCCTTCGACGTGAATACGTCGCTTCCAAGACTTGAATTTTCTGCGGCCCGGCATTGTATTTACCTGCTTCTCCTACTGCGGATCAGCTGCTCTTATCATCATTTCTCAGCCTGTAGTCCCCGTCCTGTTTAGAATACAGCAAGCTGCGAACGTTGAGACTCTGCACTTCTCAGGACGTTTATCTCGCGTGTTCTTAACTTCTATAACATATCCACAGCGGCTCACCGATCGACCCAAGTCAAAGCTATATTTCTTCGCAGGTCACGTACGCGGCACTTCTTGAAAGAAGTTGAACATATGAATCTTCTGCAAAGGCTTTTGCATGTATGGACCTGGAAGTCGTTGATTTTGAGCATCTCTCCTCCCCCCAACAACTCCGCATCATCCGTGAGACGGACCTACTAATCGGTATCCATGGAGCTGGTCTGACACACACCATGTTCTTGCCTCCGGGGGCTGCCGTGGTTGAGATTCTTCCAGGAAATGTGGGGAAAAGAGGCTTCCGAAACCTTGCGCAGATGCTCGGTCACGGTTATCAGCGCGCGCACAAAATGCCGTGAGAGGCTTGTATTACCAAGCCAGCACGAGGAATTCTGGGTGGCCTGCAGGAAACTAAGACTAGGGTTGCAGGGTCATGTAACTATAACGCGGCTGGGCAAGCCGCCAGTCCTTGATCACCACCTTTCCGAGCCAGCTTCGTACAAGTACATCGTTCACATGAATCATGAATCTGGGCGTTAAGTTCACATCATAGTCTTGGTGTGGATTGCTTTACTCGAATCTATGTGCGACCGTGGCCGGAGCAACAGTTGTAGTCCTCTCTTTGTGGGGAGAAACAGGCCAAGACCAGCGTCCGCTACGCTAAGCTCACCCTGCGAATGCCATGGTATTATATCGTATAACTCACGGTGAACCCTCACCACTGCTCTCATTTCCTCGTGACTCCAGATTTGGGTTATCAACCTGTGGGGCAGACAACACCACAGCCTCTGGTTTCCTTTGTCTCCAGCTTGGGTGTTCATAGCCAATGCACTGCATTTCTAGCTCCCAGTTTGCATCATGCCTTGACAACAGAGCAGATGACTCTCGTCTGCAAAGCTACCCTTGCAAGACGCTTACCCTCTTGGCATGGCTTGTGCTTCCTTCCCCTAAATGAAGGCCCGGCAGCCATGACCTTACGCGCTGACCTTTATTATGATGGGCAGCTAAATGTGATTGTGAAATTGGAAGCCTCGCAAAATAAATTTGATGTTGCATCATCGGTTGCGTAACTGTATGCGCCAGGGCAAGCAGTTTTGAACCACGGGTTGGCTCCTTTGCACAAGTCCCGGCCTGAAGCGTCGGGAGGGCAGCAGTACTTAGCTCCGCCATACAAAGAGCAGTCGGACAGGCAAGCGTAAACATTGTGATAAGGCCGGCTACTAGGTGGTGTGTCAGTCGGAAAACGTATCATATTACTCACTGGACAGAGAGGCTGCCCACGAGGGCCGAGGCCGAGATACGGTGGGGCTTGACAGGAAAGCTGGCGGCATTGGCGGTTGCTTGGAACCACGGTCATGCCGATAGTGAAGGCGTCAACTACAATATCTCGGTCAGGAGACGGGCTTCGTGTGCGTGGGCCGCACTCACCTAAGCTGATGTCGTAGTGAATAGCACCCAGATCAGCGTGAACTTCGAACAACGTTGTGTTTCCAGCGGACCTCATCCAACAGGAAGGAAGGGAACAATCACCTATCAAGCAGTCAGCACCAGATTCCGAGCAAAATTGCCGTGCCCAAATCCTGCCGCCCCAAGGCAGGGACAGCGGTCTGGTTTGGACCGATGTTCCTGGGCGAAGGGATAGGCCCGGGGTCAGTGGGTCGAGCGTCGGATCGACGAGGGTTCCATTGTTGGAATGCATCGCGGGCCAAACGACTTGTTCGCTACAATTGTTCACCAACTTGAACGATATCGTCTCCGCATAGCATAGGGTAGTAAGCAGCGCAACGAGAAAACCAAGCAACATGCTGATGCCGTAAAGGCGGGATTCGACACTACTTATGAGGAGAATGTCTCTATTCTCAACAACACGTTGGCTCAGAACGACTGGTTTGGCAGCATGACTAAAATAGCCATTCGACCACCAAGCGGCGGCTCAACATTAAATATGGCTTGTGGAACGACACTGTATGCACGGGTGTCTGCATGCTTGTAGCGGAAATGGAAATCCAATCAGAAGATCCTCTGTGTCGCATTTCGGATCTCATTACTGTACTGATTCAGCATTCCAGCAGTGAGGAGAGAAGAAAGCTAGAGCTAGCCCTGTCTATTTTCGCCCAATGCATGACGAGGCACACCTGCATGGATTCGGAAACGGAGCACGAAATCGAGGAGCAGATCGAATGGATCCGGCTATACAGGGGGTATCAAGGTCGATGTCCAACGTACAGACTGCCGCTGGGTGACAGTTTAATCCCCGTGACGCAAGACACGGAGCACTTGATGCCGCATTTTGCTCACGAAGTACTCGAGGGGTCTCGGACGGTCGCGCACATGCTAAATGTGCAACCTCCTGCGCGGTGGACCTATGTGAGCAGATTGCGGTTGGACTGCCGCGGTTCTGAAGTCGAAGGAGCAGAACAGCAGTCTGAGCACGAACCGGATAAATCGGACGCGTATGACTCGGAGGCGGAGACTGTTGCCGATGATCAAGCTATAGCATATTCGTACGCGTATTTTTGACGATCTGTGATTCATGAGAAGACACTCCACGTTAGAGAAGGCGTACTGTATTACACAGACTCCTTTTTTGTCGAGACAGTTTAGAGACACTCTAGCATTGGTCAGACTTATAACTATTCATATCTTGTCAATGGATGCAATGTTTCGTCCATTCACTTATTTTTGCTATTAAAACAGCCTCGACGTCCATACGCATACGGCACGGGCAGTGAGAAGATGCGAGGAGAGCAGAACACGTTAAAGATAAGGTGTCAGATTGTGGCTTGTGGAGATCCGACACAGAACGGAGATTAGTTCAGTATATGAGAAACCAGCTGTTCATTCTTTGTGAAAACAAAATTAATCAACTTGATCTTTGAAAAATTAGAGTTTTCGCTGTGATCTTGTGCCACCGTATTTCTGACAGTAGTCTCGGGGGCGATGATGTTTCCAGGTGGTGTAATTTGCTAGTTGTCTACATACCAAATAGATCAACAGTATTAAATATTGTATACTGCAGTATAACCTGTAAGTATGTATATTGTTAATAAATAGTACTCTTATAAATATGTATGCGCTGTACGTATGGCATCTGTAATGCGTATAGTGTCCTTGCGTCCCTCAGAACAGCGCCAAAACGACCCTTTTGCCCCACGACGGCAAGAACATACAGCTATCCGAAGGGAGTGGGAAGGTTTTATACTTATGGTTTCGAATGCTGTGTAAGTATCAATATGGTACGTACGTAACATGAAAGCATGATGACGTAAATGATCTGAGCCACGAGACTCTTATCCTGTCTGCCCCACGAACCCTAAAATATCGACACCAAACTGGTCCGGCAGAGAGGCTATCTATAGTGCGCGTACCTGCTCTTAAGACTTGACTCCAACTGCGTAAAAGATTTGGCGACTTGAAGAACCCTCAATTTGTAGTATGGACGTGAAGGCAGACCAAGGACGGACTGAGCTACAGGAGAAGCGCGGCCCGCAAACGCCCGAAGACCCAGAGATGGTCATACAACAACAGCTGATGGATGAGGAACGTATCCTCAATGCGTTAGTTGTAGAGGGAAATAAAGCTCGGCAGGAGACCGCGCCACAGTCAAGTAGGACCTACAACCCCAGGGAACCATGCCATGCCTCCAATCAACTTCAAACTAGCGTTCCTGAGACTGTCGGGGACAGTAGTGAAGTGGTTAACTTGAGTAAGTCAGAGAGCACCAAGACACGGAAGCGTCGAGTAGGGGCAGGGCAAGGGGAAATACCGACGATGGTCAACGACGCACCAAAAGCTCTGCCGAGGCGCGGCGCACCTCGAGCTGCGAAAGGGACAGTACGGAGTCAAGAGTCAGATTTGAGACTGATTGCTGGACATGGTGGGGGAAGGAACACCGCTCAGCAGCGCCGGGAAGTACCAGACGATGACGGATTTGAGGAGGACCAGTTGTACAGGATACATGGCATGGCCCCAGTGGGTCGCCAGATCGACGCAACAAGTAAGCCAATGATGGATCTCAATGCAGCGGATGTACACAAGATTATTCCCGCGGGAGATTTAAAACGAAAGCGTGACGAGGTCACGGAAGCTAATCGTGCTGACACCGAGGATGGTGGTAACGCCATTGCAAAGCCCACTCTAGGTGTATTACCTAAAGAAAACCGTGACGGACTCTTTGAGCAATCTAGAGAAGCCAGATTCAAAACCACGGAAGTGACCAGTAAGCGGCGAAAAGTGGTGCAAAGGGCAGGTGAAGATGGGCCGCCTACGGAGGATGCCCATGCCAGGGGCGGCCGTACAAGTGAAGCTGAAGAGCAAACACAGCAACAAAGGCGAATACAGCCCCAAAGAGGAGTGAAAATCACTCGAAATGATCTAAAGAGCGGGGCGACGGTTGGACGATGGGAGCTCAAAATGGCACAAGCCAACCGAACGCAACGGGCCGATAGCAGGCGGACGACCCAGAAGCGCTTGGGGATGGCCGAACTCGAAGTCGAAGCGCAGAGGTACCAAGAATTATCTGCAGCAATCAACAAGTATTTGATTGTAACAATCGTCGAGGTCCTGGAGGATTCCAAGAGGACAAAGCCCATTAACTCCGAGTATACTATGGCACAGGTCCCCCAGGACCTACTTGAAAATATCTCTAGGGGCCTTTGGAACGCTAACGTCGCGGGGTATTATATGGCTGCGTCCTTGCTGATTCGGCAAAAAAAAATTGATCTCCATGATCTCCCCAATTCAGCACAGTTAATTCTAAAGCCAGTCTTGCAGCTTCTGGATGCTAAATCATATGAACCATGCATCCATCCTGACTTTCGCTGCACAAAGCTGCAGTGCTATGAGCAATGGTATGTCCTGTGTTATCGAGGGGAGAAGGAGATTCCATTCACGGAGTTCAAACAAAGCTATTGGATGCCTGAAGTGAAAAAATATAACAAGAACCTCAAAACCGACTTTTCCAGAAAGGCGGAGATATTTAGTGGAGAGATGAGTGATAAACACCAGCTTATGACGACACTTTACACGAGAGAGTGTATAGACCTACTCACGCGGAAATTGGACGCCGATTGTGATATGATGGGTTCACAGACAGGGGAGTCGCAGGAATCTGAGGCCTCAGGCACGGGGGCGGGACGCTCACAAATCGTCAAACGAGCTTATATGTCTTCTATACAAAAGCTGAAGAGGGAGGAGGGGGCGGCAACAAGAGCTCTGCGCAGAGAAATTGCGGCTCTGCACAGGCAACTCGCAACTCTGAAGTCGAAAAGCGAAAACGTCCAGGAATCGACCAAATCAAACGAGGAGTTGGTTCTGGAGGTGGATGAACTTCGAAAGGAAGTCGCGAGATACAAAGAGACAATCAGTGACCTAAATAAGAAAATCAAGACCCTGCATGAAGACCAGGAGAGACTAGAATCGGAACGTACGCAGCACGAGCAAACGATCAAGACACAAAGTGAGAAAATCGGCAGGCTGGAGCAGGAGAAGGCGGCATGGGAGATTGAGAGGGTGGAGTTGGAAGGGACACAGGAAGACTCTAAAAATGAATTTACAATGCTACAAAATAAGCACAGCGTAGAAATTCGAGCCCTAGCCCAAAAGCATGAAGACCAAGAGAGATGCACGCAGACAGAAATCAGCGACTTGAAGGAAAACATTAAGATATTGAAAGAGGAAAGGAAAAGGGACAAGGAGATGCGCAGAAGAGAGAACGAAATGGCGGAAACCGACCTGCAGAGATTAAGAACAGAAGCCACAGAACATCAGAAAGAGAACAAAGAGCTGACACAAAAGTTAGCGGATGAAGGGCGAAATGCAAAGTCAACAATAGACAAGCAAACGACAATTATTACCGGGCTGGAATCAGTCATTCTCTCTTACATCCAAACAAGGTTAAAATGGGCCAAGGGCCTGGAACTTCATGAATTGAGGAAGCAGGTCGAGTCACTGAGGGTCCAAATCAGCAACCAATCCGACGCGGACCACGGCGCCATCTATGAGCTTTGCAACAAGATACAGATGAATAGAAATTTTCCGTCAGTGGATGACGAGCTGAGACATCTCAAGGATGAACACAAAAAGGCAATCGAGGGAGGAATAGAGGTAGTGCGTCAATTTTTCATATCCATGGATCGGGGCGAGGCGGACTCGAAGGACGTCGAGAAGCCTGTAAAGCGAGAAGAGCCTGATCCCGATACAATGAGCTCCGCGCTACAATCCGCCGGCCTGCGCTGTACACCAATGCTGGAGCACATGAAACCATTCTTCTCCCAGGAATTTCGCAACACCGTCGGCGCCGATATGGCGCAGCCAACTGACATGTACAACATTTACCGCCCCGTATTCCTGCTGTTGCAGAGGTTCTTACAGAACAAAGGGACAATGAAGCACAAGCTTTCTGTGCTGCAAGAGGAGCATAGTGAGTGCGACAAAAACCTACAAAGGTCAAAACGATCAGCAGAGGCCCTACAGACATGCTTGGACAACAAAACAAAAACAGCTGCGAATAACCGAGAAGAACTATGCAAGCTGAAAGCACAATGGTCCGAAGTTCACGAGCTTATTAAGACGGCACTGAGATTATATGAGACAAAAAGTAGCACGCGGGAAGACCCCGGCGACGAAGGCTCAGCCGAAAGCCGTATAAAGACCACGGGAAAAGCATTAGACAGAAGTTCAAGCCGAAAAGCAGACAAAAGCACGGACTTACCCATAGGCGAAAGTTTTGATAAAAGCAGGAATCAAGACCTTGAACAACGGATCAAAGACTGTTTGCGTAAGGGCGATTTGGCCGATCGGGCTGTTCTACGGCGCTGGCACATTATGTGGTGCGGTTGCGAAAACTTCCGTATCGACGGTGACGGTGTTTCAACAACGGGGACTTGCACATTGCATGGCGTGCCTGCCACAGTCTCGGCAAGTAGCGATGCATCCAAGCTCTGTTATTCGATGTTGGAGTGGATGCAAGGCGTTTTCAGCTACCGCCAGGAATCTCTCAGAGCGCTGAAGGTTGAGGTTTGCAACGGAGAGGAAGAAATCGACAAGCTGCGGCAGACGGTTACTGAAAGGGAAGCTACAGCGAAAAGAACATTGGAACTGTTGGAACAAAACATAGCCCACGAAACGAAGCGATACGACGCCCTAAAGGAACGTTTTGATACAATCGAGCAAGGCAATTCGATACTGAACTTTGTCGCATCGGTGCAAGACAAGACACAAGATAGCGACGTCGTACTCGAACCACAGCCGCCAAAATCCGGAGAATGGGCCAACCCACAGGTAATAACGTGCTTGCACACCATTCTATGCGGGTGCGCGTTAGATTTGTCAAATCTATCCGAGCTCACTTTTGATCCAGCAAAATATAATGACTGTAAGCGCGTATTCCGGAGTATACTCCCAGAAAGCATCAAAGCCGAAATAGACGAAAAGTTTGCCACTGGTTCCAAGTTTCTCTCTACTGTGGCAAAGCGCTGCAAGCTTGAAGCGAAGCTGGTGGAAGATTTGAAAGCTAGTCTCCGCGCCAGAGACGCGCTCTGTCGAGAGAATGAGGTCCTCAAAAATGAAGCAGGCGCCAAGAGAGCCGACTCAAAGAAAATTATACATTTGCATCGGAGGGCCTTTCTTGATTTTGCACGATTAATTGTCGAACCCTTCAGCGAGGGGTTTCTCCAGCACGGGGACAAAGGATCCACCAAGTGCAAAAATCGAGAGATAAAACTTAACCAAGTACGGCTGTGGCTTACGCCGTTGGAGGAGGGAAATGTGGAATCAGACGATGAAAAACTGACAGCACCTATTGAGATATGCACAGGTCCGGAGCCGGCGGACGACACCGAAAAGATCTTTTCGCAACTAGTCCGTGTGCAGGAGGTTGCTAACAGAGAGCAAGAATTCAACAAGCTAGTTGCTGTGAAAGCCGAATTGCAAGAAAAGGTTGCAAACAAGACGCGGCAATATGAGAAATTAAAGAACAGTTTTGACACAATCGAAAAACACAACTTGATGGTGAAGTTTGTCGTGTCAGTGCAAGACAAGGCACAGCACAGCAACCTTGCGCTCGAACCTCGTCTGAAAACCGGGGACTGGGCCAACCCGGAGGTAATAAAGTGCTTGCACATAATTCTGTGTGGATGTACAGTCAGCTTTTCCAATGTAAACGAAACCACTTTTGATCCGGCAAAGTACAAAACTTGTACGTCGGAGTTCCTTAGCGCACTACCAGAAAGGATTACGGCCCATGTGTACAAGGAATACGAGCCATACTACAAGTTCCTGTCTGCTGTGGCAAAAAGCCGCCACCTTGAA